TTACTAAAACTCCTTTGGAAAAACTTATAAATGATCAACATGTGCCAAATTAAAAAGAATTATTTTCATTTTATTTGGTTTCCTGACAGGCTATCCTTTCATTTGGGAAAAACTTGCATCTAGACTTCTATGTACCACATTCCACTGTTTTTCTCCTACCTCAATGGTTGCTTTCCTACTTTCTTTGATGCATTTTCCTCCAAAACCATCTCTAAACTCAGAGTCTTTCAGGGTTTGATTTTGATCCTTCTCCTCTTGACATATTTTCTTCTTAAATGACCTCATCAATCTATGACGTAAAATAATATGTATATTTTGATGACTCCAGTTTTTATCTAAAATCTAAATAGTGACTCTAAATTCATAAATCTGAAGCATACCTGATATTTCTCTTTTATCTCTTATAGGCATCTTAACACTAATGTATCCTAAATCGAATTCTTGATAATCTCACCAAATTTACTCTTCCTGTGTACTTCTTCCCTCCTATATTAGTGCACAGCACAAAATATCTTCCCAGTTATTCAATCTTAAAACCTAGAATTCATCTTTCATTCATTTTTTACTCATCCACTTCAATCAAATCATCTACAGGTTGTGTCAGTTCAACTCTTAAAAGGTATTTTGAATTCATCAACTTTTCTCTATTCCTACCGCTACTGTGGTAGTCCAAGCATTTCTTGCCTGGACTGCTACAATAAGCTCCTAACTTTTGTCCTTTCCTTCCTCCGATTTAGTTTATTCACAACATTGTTCAAGAGATGTGACTTCTGTTTTGGAATGATGAGTTTTACAATCTAGAATCACCTTGGATTATTTTGGAATCCTGAGATCACATAATGCTAGACATAAAAAGATTTATGTATCAAGTAATCTACATCCAACATTAATAAGAATAGTTGAGGTTATGCTAAGTCTAGGTAATAAAAACGTCCCAAATCTCAGTAGACTAAAGCAACAAAGGATTCTTTCATGACCAAACTATACTATCATCATGGGGTGTCTGGGGGTTTTGTTCTGAGCCATCTACATTCCAGGATTCATCCTGATGGAGCCCCCACTGCCTGGAATCTTGCCAGTACCAATAACGATAGAAAGAAAGCTATAGCAAAAACACCCACTGTGTTATTAAAACATTCCCTAAAAGTGACGTACATCATGTTCAATCAATTTCTTTGGCCAAGGCAAGTTGCTTGACCATGTCTAAATCAAAAGGGTGTAGGGAAGTGAAATACTTCCATGTGCCTAAATGGAGAACTAAAAATATTCAGTGAATAGCACTAATGATGAGTTCTCCCTTATATTTTACAAATGAATAAATTAGGACCTAGAGAGACTATGTCAACTGTAAGATCATGAAGCTGATTTATGTCACAGTCAAGACTAAAACTGAGTCTTGTACTCACTGTCCAGTGCTTTTCCTAATAATCAACTGGGAATTGTTTGTTCCTTATCCAGACAAAATATGTTTAAATGTCTTAATATCAATATTTTATTTATTTATTTAAGTAATATCAACCTTCTGTATTAAAACATTTTTATACCTTTGCTAAAAAATATGAAGCTTAGAGGCCTTGCTCCTCCAGTCTCATTGATGTTCTAGCAAGATGCCCCAGTGTCAAAGCACTCAAAATCTCTCTGACCTGACTGTTCTCATTTCTAGAAAAATTAAGTCATGTTTTACGCTAGGGATTCTAAACACACTGGCTTAAGAAATGTCAAGGAGATAAGCAAGAGAACTGTGAATCTGTATGTAAATTAAGCACCCTCTGTTAAATCCACTAGAAATGTATTCGCAACAAGAACTCCAATTAACAATAGCTTTGGGAGAGAAGATCTATTTGACCCTCATAACAAGTCTAAAGGTGAATGGCTACTGATGTTGGTTCCATAGGTCAAAGGTATCAGAGCCCATGGATCTCTTGGTCTTTTCCCAAGGACACAGGAGGGCTGTGACTGCTCCATGCATTACACCTATGATCAGTCTAGAAGAATGGGGAAGGTTGAAACCAGATGAGATTGCCCCTTTTATTGGAGAACTAAAAACTTTCCCAAGATCAATAATCCACCCCTTATTCTAAAGGTCCTATTTGCCAGGACCGGGGTTACATGGCCAACCCTAGCAGAAAGGGAGATTGAAAAAAATAGGAAAAAAGATTATCATTGATTGGCCAAGCCTAATGCTGCCTTGAACAAGAGAAGGGTTCTGTTGACAAAGAATAGCATGGGGGTAGGAGGCGGTAAAAATGAAGACTAAGTAAGCAACCAACAGTGTCTGCCTGATTCCCTGATTGAATAGAAGATTGTTTTGAGAGAATTTATCTACTGTTCTTAAATTTTACATTCAAAATAATGTGAATAAATAAAATATATATTTACCACTGAACTCATAGTAGCTATGTTATGTATCTTCATAATTGGTGAAATTAAAAAACATAATCAGGTGCTGCACAATGATGTTTTAGCCAATGATGGACTGCATATACAATGGTGGTCTCATAATATTATAATACCATACTTTTATTGTACTTTTCTATGTTTAAATATGTTTAGAGTTACAAATATTTACCATTGCATTACAATAGCCTACGGTACTCAGTACAGTAACAGGTTTATAGCCCAGGAGCAATAGGCAGTACCATATAGCCTAGATGTGTAGTAGGCTATACCCTTTAGGTGTGCGTAAATACATTCCATGATGTCCACACAATGACAAAATTGCCTAATAATACTTTCCTCAGAATGTATCCTTGTTGTTAAACAATACAGGATGGTATAATGAAGCTACTTTAAAAAAATATATATTCCATAATGTTCACACAATGACAAAATAGCCTAATGATGCTTTTCTCAGAATGTATCCTTGTTATTAAACAATATAGAGTTGTATAATGAAGCTACTACAATAAGTTCTGCTATAACACTTGTTTTGAAAATACAAATTTATTCCAACAATATTGAAATGTTAGGGAAGTGTTTGAATATAACATAATTTCGCATTTGTTTGTGTGCGATTTTGTCTACTTGAAACACTAGTCGAATGCAGAAAACTACCCAGATGACCTGAGCCACATAAGAATGCACAAAACTCACACAGGTACGCTCCTCAAACATTACCAGTGACCTCAGTCCACTGCCTGAGTTATGAGCCACACCCATCCACATCTGTTGTAACAAAATTCCCTCTGATTTCAAATAATGCTTCTTTTGCCATTTCACAACCCATAAGCTGTGACCTTTCTGAGGCCCATTTCCACAAGTAATGCCATGTCTTTTTCAAGATAAAGGGTTATATTTGCTGTAGTATTTATGCATTTCTTAAGCATTTATCATGTGTAAATTTATGCTACCATTTTTATTAGGTCTTGATCTGCTTTGTATGGTCCATTGGCAAAGTTTCTGAGTGCTGTGTCCTAAACCTCACGTTACGCATTAAGTCCTGTAGTTTTAATTGCACATTTTTTCAGTGATGCTATATCTAAATAAATCCCTGGTAGCTACCAGGCAAATATAAATAAGTGTGTATATGCATACATACATTCAAACATATATAATATTAGAACACAACTGAGGCATTTTGACATAAATCCAAAAAAATCCTTTTATATTTTAGAGGTAAATATGCCTTTAAAAGTATTTATTAAATGTACTTGGGAGGATTTATTCAAAAAAGACTATCAATTATATGAAAGAAAAGCCATTCAATACGCCAAGCTATATATAGATGTCTCCTTAATGGGTGAAGATTTGTCATTTATCTTTTAAGATAATTATGTAAATTATATTCAGCCCACACATCCTGAGCTGCGAAATGACTTTTATATCTTTCTCCTCATTTATAAATCTTTTCTAACAGAAGTTATGCAAGATTCAGACTGGTCAGCACACAGCTGGATTTTGGTGGTCCCTTTACAATAGGAGAGAATCCATGTTCCTCCTTAGGGCCTTTCTTTTCCTTAATGAAGGCATACAGAGCACTCAGCACATTCCCAGAGCTTCTTAGAATTCCTCCCTTGAGAGATCTCAGGAAATATGAGGAAAAACAACTTCAAAAAAAAAAAAAAATTAATGAAAGGCCTATCACTATTCGCCATTCTCTCTTTCAACAGCTTCCCTATCCTTTCTACTTTCTAGAAGTGTAGTGCCTCTTCAGTTTCAAACATTTTTCCTCTTCTTATATTCCCAAGGTGAGATGCCCTTTTCTGGGACTACACCTATGAAAGGGACAGGGAAAAGATCTTATAGAAATTGAACCCTGACACGGGGCTTATTTTCCTAAGGACCAGAACATAGAAGGAAAGGGTGGGACCATGGAAGGATTAATTTCAGGCAAGGGCAGCCTGTGGAGAGTGAGAAATCTGAAAAGGCTCTAGGCCTCTATGGGCATTCCCCTCCACTTCTTTTGCCTGCTGCCAGATGATTCTCACGTGTGAATCCTTATTTCCTCAGGAATGCGGATCAGGGTTTGGCAAGTATGTTTTTAAAAAATAATTGTTGAATGTTCAATGTTCACAGGAAGAAGCATAATTTCGAGTGTGCACAGTAATCACTGAAAATGATTCTGTACTCACTGTTAGGATGCAAATGCAAATTCGTATAGCCCTTGCACTGACTCCGTGGGTCACCTGTGAGTAACTCTAGCCAAAAACCATGCACAAGCCCCAGTCTGCTTCCAGGCAGCAGACCACAACATAGTGTCCTGAGCGCACCTGCACACACCCATGGGCACACATTAAACCCATAAACGGCGGGTTATGCTAACGTGTACTTCCTTCCTCACTGCCTCACCTTGTTCACTTTCCTTTTTCCCCACCCCTCACCCCACACAATGGGATTTTTGTTTGCTTCAGTAGCATGTGACAGCACAGTCCCTGCTTTGCCTAGCTCTGTGCTGCAAGTCTCTCAGGTAACAGGTGGCAGCTTCCCCTGTTGGATTCTAGGTTTAAAAAAGAATGATCTCATGTGGGTGGAGCTCTGGGACTTCGTAGAGGTGGTGGCAGTCACAGCCAGGTAACCCTGGAGTGAAGCAGGTTAGTTAGAAGGGGGCAGATAAACTCGTCATTCTAGTGGCTTTAACCCTCACCCTGAGGCGCCTTAGCAACCAGTCATTGCCTGCAAGCCTCTAAAGCTTGTCTTTGCCTCATATGGAGCCCAAAGAAGCCACTGGAAAAGAAAACATGGTCACCAAGAAAAAGAATCTGGCCTTCCTGAGGTCCAGACTCTATATGTTGGAGAGAAGGAAGACTGACACTGTGGTTGACAGCAGTGTTTCTGGGGACCACTCTGGCACCTTGAGGAGGAGCCAATCTGACAGGACCGAATACAACCAGAAATTACAAGGTAACCAAAAAGAAATCAATTGTCCCAGTTACTGCACTTCCTGCTCCATTTCTGCTACATTTCCATTTGCAAAGAAAACACACAAGGCAGAGGAGAAAATCAAATACCACCTCTCCTTCCCACAAAATAAGAAGATGAAAGTAAATGTGACCTGTAAATTATAGGAAAAAATTTTTATCATGTGATTCAATGTTAAAGAGTCAATTCTCAATTACTCTTAATATTGCTGGGGTGTTCTTTTTTTTCCTGGTGAGGGTAATCATTTTTCTTCTACCTTCTTCTTTTCTTCTCCCTTCCTTACCCAACTTAAGAAGTGGGAAACACTAGAAAGCAAATAATTTAGAAACCTACAAAAGATTGTTTATCTCAATGAGCAGATATGTGATATTACACCATGAGATCTATCTAGGTAATTATACTGAACTGTGATTGTGGTTATCTTAAATAGGGGCATGAAACTATAATCCTGTCTATGAAAAAGAAGGAATGTTATAGTCAGAGAGATGGTATAACAAGATTTGCTGAAATTCACTTAGGTGATCATTTCCTTTGAGTAAATTGAATAATACTCAAATATGGTAAGAAATGTTTAGGAGGCTTATTTTGAATGATATTTGAGGAAATAACTTCAGTTTATTTTGTGATGGTACTAAGATAATTTGGCACAGTTATAATAGCACATCGTGTGTTTCAGGGCCTTAATCTATATCCTGTCCTATCTATCCTTTCTTTCTCTCCTCTGTTTCCTGAAGATCATTTTTTTCTAGTAAAACTTCATTTTGATGTTGATATTGGGCAGCATTTTATGTCTTCTCTTCAGTACCTGTTATGTGGTCCTCCAGAACTTGCCTCTCCTGCTTTTAGCACAAGGTGTGTTTGAACTCTCATCATCCCACCGTGAGCTGTCGTTTTGTATTTAAAAACTATGATGAGGTCAGAAAGACCGACAGGACATGCTTATATTTAACAAATCTCTTTCCACAAATATGAGCTTAGATTTAGTTATGCAAATTAATTAAGTTAAATAAGTTACATTAAGTGCATTTAAATTAAATCTAAAAATTATTACTATAAGTTAATATTTAAAAATAAAGTACTGGTAGTTCAGGACTAAAGCACAGCATCAAACTTATCCTCAAATACTTTTTTTTTTTTTAAATGAGGGAGAGTGTTGTTTAATCTTTGAAATTAATTTTTCTCAAGGCAACGGATACATTGGAAAGAATGCATGTCTTAAAATTTCACCTTTTATTTTAGATTCAGGGGGTATATGTATGTGTTTGTTACATGAGTATTTTGTGTGATGCTGCGGTTTGGGGTACAAATGATCTCATCACCTGGGTACTGAGCATAGTACCCAGTAGGTAGTTTTTCAGCCCTTGCCTTTCTCCCCACGCCAGTAGTCTCCAGTATCTATTGTTGCCACCTTTATGTCTATGTAAGTCTAATGGTTAGCTCTCACTCATAAGTGAGAACATGCAGTATTTGGTTTTCTGTTCTGGCATTAATTTGCTTAGGATAATGACCTCCAGTTGTATCCATGTTGCTGCAAAGGATATGATTTTGTTCTTTCTTATGGCTATGTAGTATTCCATGATGAATAGGTACCACGAGAATTTAAAATCATACACTTTTAGTTTCTAATCCTGGTTCTTCAACTTACTACCAAATAGAACTTCAGCAAATTACTTTAAATATCTGAGCCTCAATTTTCCTGTCTGTGAAAGTGGGACTAATGATACTTGCCACATAGTGTTGTTGGGAGATTGAAATTAGATAATTACATAAAACATCTAGTATACTGACCGACAAATTTTAGGAATAATGGCTACCATAATGATAAAACAGAACTTGCCCAATATTAATCGAAGTTTGTATACCTTATTTCTCTTTTTCAATTATTTCTTGTCCTTTGATAAAGAGACCACGTCTAAAATTCAGGAAAAGCCCATTGCTTTATCCCTAATGACATGTTTTTTCTATCTGAGTTTCACTAATCAGCATCTATCAGAGTCTCTATTAGCAAAATAAAAATAGAAAATAATTTTTGCTACTGACACATTTTTGCTTACTACATTTACCTAAAAAAATAAGTCTATGACCACACAATAGAGCAGACATGGGTTGGTTACTTTGCAGAAGACCTCAGGCTTCTTACGCACTTCATTTGATTTGTGGCTTTCCTGTGCTCTGTTGGAGTCTTTGAAGGTGGAAGGCAAAACTCAGGAGTTAACACATACTTCTAGTCTGTGCTTGAGAAAAATCACCAAGAAGTATAGAGGAGCACATAAGCCATAAAGATAGACTGGCCTCTTGATAAGTAACATTTTAAAAATGTAACCCTTAAAAAAATCCAAGTCTGATTATTGAATGCCTAATAGAGCTTTTAGCATGGTTCAACTAGAACAGCTTTGGCAACAAGGGAAGGCATTTTCTCATTAATGTTCAAAGCAATCAGTTCTGTGTGTTTGTTCTGTGGCCTGTACGATACCCATTATTATGCAGATGAGTCCTAAATCACCTTAAGAAACTCTTTATTATTCAAATGTGAGGGCTTTTCCTTCCCCTTTCTTGGAACTGGTAGTCCCTGGGAGGCACTGAATAAACACCTGGAATGGTTAGAGCCCTCGGATAGATGGCCTAAAGCTCTTGTGAGGTCAAAGAGTGCTTTCAAATACTGGAATTTCTGGCAACACCACATTCCTCAAATTATTTAGCTGGTTATTTGATTAGTTATTTAATTGGTTGTCCTTCAATGCTATATTACTTGAGTAAAATTCACTGTCCTAACTCTCTGGGGAAGCAAGTTCTCTGGGTTCTGGAAAATGTAAGATCTTTCTCTGGCGTTCTTGAGCTTGTCTTTTAACTCATAATACATAGTCTATCTGCTCAATTCAATTTCTCACATCACTTTAATAGCATGAAACTTAAGTTGTGATAACAATTTTTAAAATGGTACGCTGGCTGAATTAAAACGATAGAATATGGCTCCAACGAGGACATACTAAAATCTTTGCAGAAGATTGTGATAACATCAACATAGTCATTCCTACTACGCCTCGAGTCGTACAATAATAGAAAGGCTACCCTTAGGCTCCTTTACTCCTCGAACAGATTAATTCAGTTGACTAGCATTTATTGAATATGTCATACCTTGTTCTTTGAAATTAATTTTTCTCAAGGCCCTTCATACATTGGAAAGAATACAAATTATAAAATCATACACGTTTGGTAAATTGACATTTATTGAATGTTTTATATGCTGTGTCTTGAGGGTTAAAATGAAGAGGAAAAACAGAATATGTGCCAGGAATTACAACTACAAAATCATTAAGAAAACATGTCTGACCTTTACTCCAAAGAGGCTCAAAGTCTGGTTGGGAAAGATAAGACAGGTAAACAAATAAATGCAATAAAGTATCACGATAGAAGTGGAGGTGGGATCAGTGCGTCCACAAAAGGAGGAAATGGTCTATTCAGGACTGCATGAAGGAGGTTGTCAGAAAATCGTGTTTCTAAGGGATGATAAGGATAGGGATGAGGGAAGGTACAGGAAAGAGAAGGACATTTTAACCTCTCCACTGGATTTAGCTGTGTCTGAAATTGTTTTTGTTTCCTTGTTTATCACCTGTTATTGACTGTCGTTCCCCTCCCTTTTCTCTCCCTCCTCTCCCATACACCATGAAAGAAACCCTATCTGTCTTGTTAACTGTTTCATCTCAGCAGCCCAGAATACAGTAAACACTCAGTAACTGTTAAATAGAATGAATGACTTGAATGATCAGGCCCAAGCAGGAAACTGCTGTGAAGAAAGGCACCAAGGCCTGAAATAAGAGCCACTGTATGTATCTAAATATGTAGGGACACATGTTTCTATCAGAAAGATGATTCTTCAGTTAAATGAACATCAGAGATTAAAATGTACAGAATTTGTATAATAAGTAATTCCCAGTGGAAGCCTGTTTCATTCCCAACTCGACCTTTCAGAGCATACAACAACCATATTTCAAGTATTCCTCTTCTATTTGTAACAAGAGCCAACTTAGCTTCCACTAGCTCAATTCCTCATTTTCATTCTACTGGGGGCCATAGAAATTTCCTAAATACAAGATATTTAGTGGTTGAGTTGTAAAAACTCAGAGAGGGTTTCATAAATACTTATATACATGACCTCTATATTTGAAATATGCCTAATTTAAATAGTTATACAGAAGTGTGTATGTGCATATGCAGGTGTGTGTGTGTGTATATATATATCCAGTATGTAGATATATACATGTATGTACATGTATGTGTTCATGTGTGTACTTGAGACACTTTTTTTTGCAATGATTAGACTTTTTATTGAAAGTTACTGTAAAATTTAAAGAACAAAAAGAACAAAAGTTTACTAACGTTCAGGAGTCTTTTCTGAAAACCATATATGAATTATGTCACTGACATTATAGGTTTCCTCTCAGTATGGCTACTATGGACTGAATGTTTGTGTTCCTCTAAAATTCCTATGTGAAACCTAATCCCCAATGTGACAGTATTAGGAGGTGGGGTCTTTGGGAGGTAATTAGGTATTGAGGGTGAAGCTTTTGTGAATGGGATTAGTGTCCCTTAAAAAAAAAAAAACACAAGAGAGAGCTTGCTTCTCTCTGCTCTCAGCCATGTCAGGATACAAGAAGGTGGCTATGTGCAAACCAGGAAGTGGGCTCTCAGCAGGAATAAGATCTGCTGCATTAGGAACAAGATCAACTTGATTCTGGATTTTCCAGCCTCCACAACTGTGAAAAATAAATGTTTGGTAAACTTAAGCCACCCAGTCTCCAATAATATTTGTTATAGCAACCCAAACCAACCAAGACGGGTCGATTACCTTTATCCTCTATGGCCACACTAAACTTCTGTTTAATTTTCTGGCCAATGCATATTTTTGTTTATCCAACACCAGATGAAAAGGTGAGAATATATGGGTAAAATGCTATTACCCATTACCACTGCTGGTAACACAAGGCAAAAATTACTTCTCCATTTCATGGTGGGTCTGTGGTACTTTCTATTTTTGCAAAGGCTATTGTATCATTCTCATTAAGAATGATTATCTTTACGATGCCCAAAGTTGTCTTACTATGGTGCTAAAGATGAACCACCCTACTGCAGGAACTTTATACAAAATAACGTATTGTGCCATGTGGGGACAAGGGGCTCAAATAATAAACTAGACTTGGTAAGATTATGAGGCCATTTAATTTAAAATGTTTTTTAAGAATATAGACAGTCTGTCAGGAAGCAGAAATTAACACGGGAAGACTTGCTGAGTTTTGTTCAAGACTAAATGAAGAATGGAGTAAAACAAATTGTCCAGCATCCTGTGCTTGTTTCTATCCCAGTGCTACAAACCCTTTTTGTTCGTGTCTGTTCTTTGATTAGTGAGTAGCTCCTTCCCCTTTATCTTTATCTGTCTTCATACACTCTATAGTGAAATGGGAAGTATTTGAATCAGTAATGTGACACCAGTACAAATAGGTGTGTGTCATAGTTTGAAGGGCGAATCCTTCTAAAAGGCAAGATGCTGTAAAAACTCAGTAACTTTTGTCTTACTTCAGGCATAGAAACCAGTGTAAACCATGGTATTTTACTTTCCTATATTTTTCAGTAGAGGCATCTTGCAGTTTTTAGCAGGACCATTTGTGTCAAATAATGTGTGAGTCACAGAAATTGAGACTGTTTGAGCTATTCTACTACTACCACATTGTGATGGGCAAATTTATTCCTATGTTTGACTGATATGACTTTAGGCGTAACTTTCTTAAACGTAGCAAACACAATTTCTAGTTGTGTTTTTTGTTTGTTTGTTTATAAAAATTACGGGTTTATCAAAATGAGACACCAAGCGGAAGAAGGAATGAAAGAAAGGAAGGAGAGAGAGAAGGGGAGAGATAGATAGAAACCAAGCAAGCAGCAAGCATGAATAGAAATATACCTTAAAATAGTAATATAGCTGGAGAAAAGATGGGAGAAAAGCACCCAAGCTACATTCATCTTTGTTTCTGTTGACACAGGAAAAGAAAAAAAAAAATCTCTGTTTATAGAATTACTTTTTCTTGATGCCATAATCATGTTAACATCAGTACCTTTGTGAATATTGATTTCTTGATAAAAGTAAAATTATTGCAAGAGTTACTAAATTTATAAATAGCATCATTCTTAGAAATAGTCAAGACTCAAAGTTATGGCTTATTTGGGAGTCCTACCTTCACTTCTAGACTGTATCTGAGACTGTGGAATTTTCTGTTCAACAGGTCTCAGTACTGGCTCCAACATTTGCTTGGACCTCTTCTTATCCCACGTTCTCAAGGGCAGACTGTGGTTGCTGGTGTGCATGCTCTTAGGCCTAAGGGACAATTGATTATGGAGGTGTTTCTGGAGCTGAATCATGCTGGAGTGTTCAGACCATGCCTACCAGGTTCCTCTGGGTGGGAAAGCTGGTAGAGAGAAGAGTACGGGGTTCAAGCCTCAAGACTGGGTAGGAATGCATATGTCCCATGGCCCCCTATCAAATTTTGGCATAAAACTCTGAGGGATATGAGAAATCTAAATTAGAAATTGGCCTTTCAGGTTGTTATAAAATATATTTATCAAGACAGAAGAATATATCACATTTTATTTAATAGTTTGCCAGCTTGATTTGTAACTTTTGAATATGCAGATTTGGTATGTTGGCCTCTATCTGTATCCTTGCTGCAGGTCCCACAAAGGAGGCAGCTATGTGTGGTTTTTGACTGTAATCTATTTCAGGATATAACCCTTCTTCTACACTAGGTTGTGAAAGTAAGAGGGAAGGCAAGGGAAGGGAGAGATTGAGTATTAATGTTATGTTATCTGCTAGGAACTATGCTAGCCAGACACTGTCACACACACTGTTACTGAATCCCAACATCTCGTCTCTTCAGTTCTGATTTTATCATTGAGAAAAACAGGTGGTAGGCCTTGGGTTTGAGATGTCACATGCTTGAAATATTTGCAAAATAGAATGAATTTAATTAGTTGACTCAGTAGGTATTTTATACATATGATTTACTAAGAAGTCAAAGCCATTTGATGGTTGCAGCACATGTTTTGTAATGTGATGACATTTCTCCGCTACCATAATAAAGCTTAACTTGCTGTTTTTCACTTTGGAATATATATTCTTTCTTTTGACTTATAGTGGCATGTCCCTGCCAGAGTGTCACTGTTTAATAAATACGTTTTTTGTTTAGTTGTCAGGGAACAAAATTACAAAGGTAGGTTAAGCAAACCTGTCTTATAGTAATAGCTTAATGATCTCCATTTCCTGCTTCATTGAGTATCTTGACACTGAAACTCATCTTTCTTTAATTTTATGCCTGTTGTTATTTATTTGCATCTCAATAAAACTTAATATCTATCAGAATAACTGACAGTCCTATTCTACAGCAATGAGAGGAGGGAATACATTTGCAAATGAAAAGAATGGAGTTGTATGGGGGAAACAAGCAACTTTTTATCTGAGTAGGTGATATTTCAGTAGAATTCTATGAAGTCAGCTTAAATTGTGAGTCATAACTTAAATGCAGCAGGAACATAGAGTGCTATGATTAAAAGCCTTTGTCCAAAGTTTTCTGAACAATTTTTTTCTTGATTAATGAATCAGAGTATAAATGAATACTCTAAGATACCTGCATTGAAGCCCCCAATAAAGGATGCAATCTTAGACTGACATACAATTCTCACTTAAAGAAGAAAACTTAAAGGTCATGTCATCTAGCTACTACTCTAAGTATTGTGAGTCATTATAGCACCTCACAGAAACTGTCTTTCCTGAATGCTTCTTAATGTTAGGTCTCCAATGTCCCTACAAAAAGCCATCACGGATTTCTCCTTCTGTGTTTGTTGTGAAATGGTTGATGAAGACATTGTTTACCTCTCTCAGTGCCATCCAGATTTTATTCAATGGAAAATTGACTCTCCTTAAGAATAAAAACATATCCCCTCCCAGATAAAAACAAGCCATTTACTATATTTAGCTGCTGGGAACTTAGGGTCAAATTTGGTTTTGTTCCCTGGCCTTTATATTAGCTATTTTGTCTGTCTAAAAGTTTCTTTCCCATATAGGCAGGGTCTGGTGGCTCATGCCTATAATCCCAGCACTTTGGGTGGCCAAGGTGGGTCTATCGCTTGAGCCCAGGAATTTGAGACCAACCTGGGCAACATGGTGAGACCCTGTTTCTACTAAGAAAAAAAAAAAAATTGGCTGGGTGGTGGTGCATGCCTGTAATCCCAGCTACTCGGGAGGCTGAGGCACAAGAATCACTTGAACCTGGGAGGCAGAAGTTGCAGTGAGCTGAGATCGTGCCACTGCACTCCAGCCTGGAGTCTCAAAAAATAAAAAAAATTAAAAAAATAAATAAATAAATGACATAATAAAATAAAATAGAAGTTTCTTTCCCCAAATCTCTGCAAGTGTGGATTTTTATCACTGAAGTATCTGTTCACCCTTTTTGGGAGTCCCTCCCTGACCATCCGACCTAAAGTGATGTAGGTGAGGAAATACTTTTCCTCTATCCTCTTAAATTCTGTGACCAGGACCTGTGAATTATACAGACAAAAGACATACTAACAAAAGAAAAAGCATACAAGTTTTACTTGAGGTTAATATTTTTATGTGTCATGGTGGGCTTTGTAGAAAGAAAGAGGTAAAAACCTCAAAGAAGCAGTTAGACCTAGGGGCTTAGATAACATTTTAACAGAGTCATAAATTGTGGAGATATGATAAAGCCAAAGTAAAAGAGTTTAGGGTTGGGGAAAGAAATTGTGGAAAAGTGACTAGGAAATACATGGGAGAAGCTAATGGAAGATAAGGGTTATTTTTGTAAGATTTGTTTGTGTAGGCTCATCTCTGTGTCAACTCCCTGTCTGTGATGATAAGAATATTCCCTTCTTGGTGATACAGGGAGGGCACTTTTCTCATGGTAAACTTACACTCTGTTTTTAAGTAAAAAAGGAAAAGGCAGAGAGCCCTTCCTGCGTCTGCTATTGAGCATCTCCAGCTCAAAATAATCAATATCCCAAAGTGGCATATTTAGGGATGGTGTATTCTGATCCCCCTCAGTGGCTTTCATACTACCTATTACTCTATTAAATTATACTGCTTTATTCTATTTTTGGCTTTTGCTGTCAATTGAATATAACTCTCCTTGGGGAAAAAGACTTAGCATTTAAGCAATGCCTGGTATACAGTTATTCTGCTCAATGACTATTTATTGAATGACTTTATAATAGCCAATGAATAATTACAACTATATTGATCCTGATGACATACTTGCTTTTACAATTCTGTCATTCTCACTTTCCCACTATGTAATGGTAGTTAACTTTCAGTTAACTTCTTTACATTCTTTTCCTGTAAAGAAAGATTATAAATAAATACATTTAATTAAAGAAGAGAATAGAGTTTCCTGACCAAGAAGAATAGGATCTCTTTTTAAATGAATTTATTCAACAAATATTTGCTAGGTATTCACATGTGCCAGGTATGACTAGATCCTAAGAATATTTTTTTTAAATATCAGAAGCATACCCAGCCCAATGAGTGAGACAGGCTGTGAACAAATTATTGTAGTAACATAATAAGTGCCTGGAGTATACTGCAAATTGGGTTTCCGAGTTGCAAATTCTGAAATAGAGATTAGGGTGGAGGGGACTTACTAGGAAACATTCTTGGACCACCACCTGGGGAAGAAAAGGGAAGGACATAAGCCTGGGCAGAGGGAGAGGCCGAACTGTGATGTGGTCTCATTGGAAGCTTCAGCCAACTCTGAAGGGAGTTCTAAAGATGGATGACTTTTTGGAGGTGTCCCCAGTGTTGTGAAGGACCTGGGCCCTTGTATCACACTTTATGTTTGGGGATGTGGCTATCTTGGGAAAGGGCATGACCTGAGAGGTGCTCTCATCTGGGATAATTCCTAAAGAGGGCATATCTGCTGGTTGTACTCCTGGCAGCTGAAATAATAATTTATCCCTTCCTTTAAGGGGAACTAGTACTAACATGGCATCCACCACATATTAAGTGGTTATTACTATTAGAGACATAAATAAAGCAATACAGGAGCTATGATAAGAAAGAACTTAATTGTACCTCTGAAATGCCAAAAGAAAATACATTGAAATCTGATTCTTGAAATCCAATTAGGACTCTTAGGGCAGAAGGCATTCCAGGCAGAGGGATTATGCTGGTCCTCATACATAGGACAAGGTAATAATACTAGTTTTTGTGTTTGGGGATTTCTAAATGGAAGAGCAGGTACAAACACCAACTGAACATCTGTAGTAGGCACTTAGGTGCAGTACGTCATTTCATGCCCTTAGCAACTTTGCAAAAAAGTTATTGCCATATATTTATAGATGATAAAACAGAGGTTAAGAGAGGTATAGGCATTCTCCCAGTGGTCACATAGCTATTAATAGTAACTGGTGAAGTGAGAGTTTTCCTGAGGTACTACTTGGCTCCAAAGTCAGTGCTTTTTCAACTATCATGCAATTTTCCTGTTCTAACCTTAGTTTTTAGTAGTAGTACCTGTTTTGTGGTTTGCTCTTAAGAAATCAACTGATTTTAATAAATCTTTGAACAATACTCACAAGCATCAAGAGAACCGTAAGTTCTGCCAATACATTCATCTGCAATCTTGAAGTGAACAGTGACCAACAAGTATTTTTCAGTAGCTGTGTTATTTTATGCTTCTCAACAAAATGTTCTATATGCTTGGAAATTAGAAAGATATGCACTTGCATTGAATAAGGTCTATACTTCACAGAACCACTAAAATATTCTACTCTAAAAAACCAAAACTGATTATCTGAATTATCTAGTCTTCGAAAACTCCTTGTCATCACTAACTACAGAGTACTTACCTGGATTAGGGTGCTTGGTGAAAGACTGGGTCAGAGTGTCAAACGACATGGCTCCTTTGCTTAACACTCCTCATTGCTTTTCATTTTTCTATAGCTAGCAGCAGTACGCAAAGAGGGGAATATATAAACCCCAGGAGATTTTACAGACAATCTATTGTGCAAAGAAAAAAATAAGTTTGTTTTTCAGTATAGCTCTTTGAAAATATTTATTGTTGTATATGCTTCATAATGTGTATGATACATTAATACTATACATATATTAGAGGTGTATACAAAGACCAGTTTAACTGACACAATAAAAACATTTGCAATGAAATTCTGACATGCTACTACATGGATGATCATCAAAGACATTGTGCTAACTAAAATAAGCTAGGCACAAAAGGACAAACACTATGTGATTCTACTTATATGTGGTACATAGAGTAGTCAGATTCATAGGGACAAAAAATAGAATGGTGGTTTCCAGGGGTTGGGGGAAGCAGGAAATGGGGAGTTATTGTTTAATGGGTAGAATTTCAATTTGGGAAGATGAAAAAGTTCTAATAATTGCACAATAATGTGAATGTATTTAATGCTACTGAACTGTTTACTTAAAAGTAGTTAACATGGTAAATTTTATGTCATGAATATTTTGCCACAATAAAAAATAATTAAAAAGTTTGGTGGCCCCTGGTTTGCAGCATTAAAATGGAATGTAAGGCTTTTCCCAATTTGACTCTGTCTCTTCTCTGGCCTGGAGGACAGTGTTACTTTTGTCAATGAAAAGAGTCAAACTCTGTGAAATATTTGAAGATATTTATTCTGAGCCAAATATGAGTGGCCAATGACCTATGACACAGCCCTCAGGAGATCCCGAGAACATGTGCCCAATGTGGTCAGCCTACAACTTGGTTTTATACATTTTAAGCTTGGGTCAGGAAAGGTGGGACAACTGGGGGCTTCCAGGTCATAGGCAGATTCAAAGATTTTCTGGTTGGCAATTGATTAAGTTATTATCTAATGACCTGGAATCAATAGAAAGGAATGTCAGAGTTAAGATAAGGGGTTGTGGAGACCAAGGTTTTATCATACAAATGAAGATCCCAGGTAGCAGGCTTCAGAGAGAATAGACTGTAAATGTTTCTTACCAGACTTAAACAATCTGTTCTGTGGGTCTTCAGATCAGTTTTAATGTTAATGTTAATTCAGCTGTGTCTGAATTTGAACAGGGATGACGGAATAATGAGACATATCCAACTCCCCTTTCTCATCATGGCCTGAATTAGTTTTCCAATTTAACTTTGCAATGCCCTTGACCAAGAGGAGGGGTTTATTCAGATGGTTGGGGAGCTCTAAGCTCCCCATCATGCAGCTTGGTTTCCATCATGCAGGACAGTTCTACTTTGGACTGGTATGACTTGATTAGGAGGGCTCACCCCCATCCCAGTTGTTTTATAAACCCTGACTCATCTTTCTATGTCTAACCTTCTCAGTCATTACCCCTAAAGGATATTCATGTCTCACGCCCTCTCTATATGTCACATAGTTGGTATTTACATGTCAATGTCTCTCTCAGTTGAACTTCTTGAAGACGGGCATATTTACATCTATAGTGCCTAGAAAAGTTGGTATGCACTCAATTACTATGTTTGTTGAGTTAATGAGTGAGTAAATGAATACATGAATAAACAATCAATGAATGGTGTGGCAGTTGTGCGGTGAAAGTCCTGGTGAATAAAGGAGGCCCTTCTCCGTGGCTCATTCCATCTCAGCCAGCTCTTGATTACCTCTTCTCTGGCTTCAGGGTCACAGCACCTGGTTATGAATCTAACTCAGCTGAAGGAATTATTTATCCGTTTTTCTCATGTCTCACATTTCTCTTCTCTATACTATGTTCTGTTGAATCATCCTTTAAAATTCTGCCATCATTAGCAAGGGCATAAAAAAAATCACATCTACCCATGTACTGGAGAACTGATAAGTTATTCCTCCGAACATAATATCACATTTTCATAACCAGATATAGATATAGAAATTAAATTATTTTTGTTCTGAGATAATCAAACATTCTAAGTGATTTTCTCATTTCCTTCTTTCTGTTAACCAGATCCATACATCTAAAACTATAAATAACATATTTGAAATACTCAGCATTTGAAGAGCTTGTTAATGCCACTCCAATCAGACATTTAGGATTGTCATTGTGTTACAATGGTGCTACTGTTTTTAAACTATTGAAAACTTTACTAAATATTTTTTAAAATACTGCAATTATAATCTCATAGTATGCTTTTGCTTCTTTATTATGAGCATTTCTGCATAGAAGTAAAATATTAACTTAAGATGTAAAATTACATTGCTTTTAATAAACGAATCCTTGGAAAAAAAGGCAGAACAACTCTGAGAAATATGAAGCTTCATTAAATTGCAGTTGTGAGCAAACATTTTTAAGTGTTTGTTTTTTTATATATAGAATATAAGAATCATACAATTGTAGTTAGATTTTTCTTTCAGTGAATCATAAATCAAATAAGATTTTGGAATGGGTTAAATCTATAAGAAAAGCTCAAATTCTATATCTTTTTTGCTATGTGTTCTTATAAGTGTGTGCAAACGAAAAACAAAAAAAAAATTCAAATCATAATTTGATCTTATTTTCAAAATATCCTTTTCCACATTTATATGTTTACGTTCAAACCCTGATGACCTTTTCTGCCCTCATATTACCTCATGTGTAGTAAAGAGTATGTTAATATATTCACTGTGTATACTATATGCATATATAATGCACACTTATGAAAAATATATGTGTGTATATACATACACTGATGCATCAATCACTGTTTTGTATATAGTGTTTGGAACCTGTGTCCTGCAATAATTAACTAAGTTGAACTAAAAGAGTCTGTTTCAATTGGTTGAAAGGAAAATTAACTCTGTTTCTCATTTTTCTAAAATGGGTAAAAAATGGAGAATTGTATTCCTCTACATCTAAACCTATATACAAGTTTTAGTGATAAAAAGTAGTGTGTGGAAGCAAGAATGCTCTGATAATTTTCCCAGAAATTATTTCAAACTTACCTGTACCTTGAATTCATGCAGTACTGGAAGAAAAATCAACACAAAACAAAACAATGATAGGATCAGCCTTCACTATTGTACCATGACTTGCTTCTCTTTAAGTTTCTGCTCAAAAATCACCTTAGTAATGAGGTCTTCTTGACCTTTCTATACAATAGTAACCACCAGCAGCACCTGCTTTATTTTTCTTCATAGTGCCTTGTCACTATCTGGTAGCTATATGTTTCCTTATTAACTGGTTTATTGTTCTCTTCTATCATTAAAATTTAAGTTTCATAAGGGCTGAGGTTTTTCTCTCTTTTTTCTTTTTTTTCATTGCTCTATTGCTAGCATCTAGAACAGGATTTCTCAATATTTATGCTACTAATTCTTTGTTGTGGGGAGTGGTCCTGTGCATTGTACGATATTAGCAGAAACATGACTACCAGGTGCTGGTAGCCACCCCTGACCCCAGCCGTGAGAACCAAAAAACAACTCCAAACCTTGCCAAACATCCTCTGGGGTGGGGGAGATGTACAATTGCCAGATTAAGAGCCACAGGTCTAGAACAATGCACGGCACAATGAACACTCAATAAATATTAGCTGAATGAAAGAACAAATGGATAAAAGCAGTATTTCTTATGCAGCCAAAATTTTGCATTCTCAATAATAGAACAATCACAAAAGAATAATTGAATACAGGGAGGCCTTTATCAAGTCAAGTTTCCCTTCTATTCAGGCCTCAGAATCTTCCCCTTTTCACTCATCTTCTGCTAAAGACTTTAAATAAAAACATTTTCGGAAGCACTCATTTATTTAACTACTAATTGCTCTGTCTGTGGTATGCTGGTCACTGTTGGAGCCTGTAAATTCAAACCAATGCCACTTAAGTATTTTTCAAGACACATAAGCTTTGTTTAATTCCTTTTTGAAATCCACTAATCTACTTTCTGTGCCAATTAGCAGTCAGAGGAAATAAATCACATGCCCTTCCAATGAGGATAAAATATTCCCAGCCCCAATGTTTGAGCTTTCAAATTCAGAGTCGTGGAGGGTCTGTTCCTCCACATTTTCACTTAATACCTCACTGGCTCCTCTCCAAACCCTGTCTGACATGCAATTATTTTCAACCTATTTCACAGAAGGCTGCTCCATTCATCTTTCTGTGGGTCATATTTCCATTGAAACTGATTTTAAAAGATAAAAGATTTTACTGTGTGAAACTTATGTCGGTAGGGTTCAACGCAATGCTAAGCCAAGGTTTTTTTGGGTTTATGGGGGCAGATATGAAATTGGCAGCAGGGAGAGGGATGAAAGAACATTTATAGTCATATCTGGGGGTTTCGTAATGATCTGTCTGGAATAAAACTGTAGATTGAATTATGGGTGGGTGTTTGCACTATATGGGTAGAAAGGGAATTGGACTGATAGAGGCAGGGAGGGAGTGTTGGTCAGAAGTTCTGAACTCAATTTCTGGCTTTGTTACTTGAGGTAGAAAACTTACTCTCTCTAGAAATTAGCTTCCTTTTTTAATATAATGAGATAGAGCTGAGCAGAACTTATCACCTTATCTCCTCTGCCTGCTCTTTTCCCATTGTTCCCTATTTCTTTAAATGGCACCGTGACCCAGTTAACAAGCCAGAAATCTGAGAGTCAGCTTTGACTTCTCCTTTACCCTCTGCATTGATTACTCACCAGTTCATGCTAATTTCACCTCTTGAATTTCTCTTGATCTGTTCAGTTCTTTCTATCTTCTTGGCAATTAGACTAAGCTTAACTCTCTCCTTCTTTCCCCTAGTGACTAGACTGTCTAGGCGAAGAGCCACTTCAATACTCACAGGCTTGCTCCTCACCCTCCCCTCCCAAATCTAGTTCTGTGGAGGCCAAAGTGATCTTGCTAAGAGAATCTAATCATGCCCCTCATTTATTAAAAAATTCCTCATTGTCGAGATCTGTCTCCTGAGAATTTCTCTAGACTCATCCCCTTTTCACAACCTCTATCACTTGTAATTCAGCTGCCCTGAGCTGTTTTCACATCTTTTTTTTGCCACCAAGACTTTAAATACACTATTTCTTTTGCTCATGACACTTTTGCATCTCTCTTCACCTTGTGCTGCCTCTTTCAGATTTCAACTGTGTCACTTCTCCAGTAGGACTGACATCCAGGCTGTGCTCTGCTTGCATGAGTCACAGGTTATTATAATTATATGTGTACTACGGTTTTAATTTTTTTAAATTTTTGTGGGTACATAGTAGGTGCACATATTTATGGGTTACATGAGATATTTTGATACAGGCATGCAAGGCATAGTAATTCCATCAGGATAAATCACCTCAAGCATTTATCCTTTGTGTTACAAATAATCTAATTAAACTCTCTAGATATTTCGAAAAGTACAATTAAATTATTTTTTATTGTAGTCACCCTATTGTGCTATCAAATACTGGGCCTTACTTATTCTTTCTATTTTTTTGTACCCATTAATCACCCCTCTTTCCTCCACTATCTCCACCAAACTACCCTTCCCAGCCTCCGGCAGCCATCTTCTTTTTTTTTTTTTTGAGATGGAATTTCGCTCTTGTTCCCCAGGCTGGAGTGCAAATGGCACGATCTCGGCTCACCGCAACCTCCACCTCCTGGGTTCAAGCGATTCTCCTGCCTCAGCCTCCTGAGTAGCTGGGATTACAGGCATGCACCACGACACCTGGCTAATTTTGTATTTTTAGTAGAGACAGGATTTCTCCATGTTGGTCAGATTGGTCCTTAGGGGATCCTCCTGCTCTGGCCTCTGAAAGTGCTGAGATTACGCACCTGGCCTGCATCCTTTTATGATCTATCTTCATGAGTTCAATTGTTTTAATTTTTAGCATCCACAGATAAGTGAGAACATACAAGGTTTGTCTTTCTGTGCCTGACTTATTTCACTTAACATAATGGCCTCCAGTTCCATCCATGTTGTTGCAAATGATGGGATATTATTCTTTTTATGGCTGAATAGTAAGTACTCCATTTATACCAGTTTTCAAATACTGACCAATGTTTTAAAATGCAAGGTGATTTGTTTGCAGAATCTTTCTGGAATAATTCTTAATCTTTTAGATTTGTCTCACTCAACTCTTAATATAACAGCAGTGCTTTGGCAACTCGACTTCATAAAATTATTTCAAAACATTAAAGCAGTTTTCACAGAAACATACACATGCTATTTTACTCTCATATTTCATTAATTTATGTAAGTTTAGTTAAAGTAATATAATTACAAAGAAGTACAACTGACATAATGAGGTCAGTTGTTGAACACAATTAAATCTTGAAAAATATACCTTGATTGTTAAGTGGAGAAGTACATAGACATCAGTTTGTGTATTTTAGGGAGAGAATGGAAAAATGTTGATTTATCTTATGACTTTAATACCCTGTCTTTACTTCTAGATTATACATATCTTGATGATAAGAGCTGTTATTTATTCATTATAGTATACACAACACAAAGCACAATATCAACTCAATAATCAATATATTATTTTAAAAATTAATATTAAATTAGATATAAGGTTTTTTAACTCCAAAGACTATGGAATTTGTAAAATCGTTAGCTTCAAATTCTAATATTCTTTGATTTGTATGTAATCATAAACATATTTGTGTTGTGATGAAATTATATATTAGTTAATGGCCAGGTTCTTACGTTGTATTATCTTTGTGTTCTCCACAGTCAAATGACTGTGAAAGTTGCTCAATAAGTATGTATCAAATGGTGTATGTGTGCCTGCCTGATGGGTTGTTGGGAGTATGAGAATGTTCCAACATTCTCGAGGTATGTCTTTATTAGCAGCATGAGAACAGACTAATACATACTGCATTTTGTTTATAAAAGTGCATATTCCTGAAAATTATTTTTAGGGTGAGGGCAAGTGTCGTTAAGTAAGGCATTAAACAAAACCTTAAGCTTGGTATATGAAATTATTCACTACAACTATTCTTTACTAAGAGATCAGTAAGATTTCAATACAATTAAGAAAATCTAAATTCAGGATTATTTATTGGTAGTTATTGAAAAATAATATCAGAGGGGAAACTTAATCTAAGTAAACAATGACTTAGAATTTTAAAAGTGATAATAAGTTGTGTACTTTAGCAGGACACAGCTATTTAATCATCTCCTTGCCCATTAAACTTGTTTGAAAAGCGCATTTTCAGTGAATTCTCAGCAACTTATTTGCATTGATGATTTAGCTTTGGGGTAAATGGGAGAGATTCAGATTTTTAAAATTCAGATGTTATTACATTATGCCAAACAACATGCAAGGGCTATATCCCTAGCTCATTTGAATTCAGCCTGAATAATAGCAGTGCACATTAGGCCTGGTGATGAACCGACTTCGTAGCAGTCTTTGCTGTTTTTGCTTTTCCCAGCCAAGGAGGGCAATTTCCTGATAGATGCTCAATTTCCCCTCTTGCCCTTGGAACATTTCCAAGGAAAAGTAAAAGAGGGAAAGCAGGTGCAGCCATTCAGAACCAGATACAGAATAATGGCAAGTAAATCATGGTCATAAAAACAATGACTGACATTTTTTGAGAGATTTCTGGTGTGTCAGACATTGAGTTAAGCAATTTTCACGCTTTATCTCACTTCTCACAACCTCCTAGCAGTGAGCAGTGGTTAACATCCAGGTTCAGGAGCCAGACTGGCTCAGGTTTGAATCCTGGCCCGCTACTTTCAGTAGTGTGACCTTGGGCAAACTACTTAACCTCTGTGTGTGTCAGCTTCTGCATGTGTAAAAGGAAGGGAATATATATACATCTTACTGTGTTTTTGTGAAGATTGAAGAGCAAATGCAAAACAAACTCAGTGTTTGCACTCAAAAATGTTAGCTTTTATTATCATTAATATAATTATTATTGTTATTCTCCTTCTACAGTGAAGCAATTTCGTGAAGCCAGATGACTTGGTCCAGGTCACACAGGAAGTGGGTGTCATTGCTCAGAACTGAACTCTGTGCCTCTCTGTTCAGCAAAATTCCACTACATAGAACATAATGTACTATGATCACAACAGTTCCAGGCAGGGAGTGAAGAGAGAGAGCCCAGACTTCGGAGCTAAGCACATAAAATTTGAATCCCAGCTCTTCTGCATATTCTATGAATCACTGGATATATTTACATACACTCACTGTATTCAGTTTCATCTCTAAAATTAGCGTAATATCCCATTTTTAGAGTTGTGAGAAAGATAATAAATAATGCATATTTTAAAAACTGGTAAATAAAAAGTTCTTGAAACTGGTTGCTCTTATTATAGGCTTTCACAATACATTATAATCAAATATAATTGCAGTAATTCTGTATAATGCTTTAATATCAAAAATAATTTGGGGGAATATACACATTTATAAACAAAATACAGTATGTATTAGTCTGTTCTCATGCTGCTGATAAAGACGTACCTGAGACTGGGTAATTTATAAAGGAAAGAGGTTTAATTGACTCAGAGTTCCACAGGGCTGGGGAGGCCTCAGGAAACTTACAATCATGGCAGAAGAGGAAGCAAACACATCCTTCTCATGGTGACAGAAATGGGAACTATGAGTGAAAAGGGGGTAAAAGTCCCTTGTAAAACCATCAGATCTTGTGAGAACTCACTCGCTGTCCAAGAACACCAGCCTAGGGGTAACCATCCTTATGGTTCAATTACCTCCCACCAGGTCCCTCCCATGATACGTAGGGATTATGGGATCTACCTTTCAACATGAGATTTGGGTGGGGACACAGCCAAACCTTATTGTGGTATATATACACAATGGAGTATCATCAGCCTTAAAAGGAAAGGAAATTCTGATAACTTGATACAACATCAATGAACCATGAGGAAAATGATACAACATAGATGAACCTTGAGTACATTCTGCTAACTGAAATAAGCCAGACACAAAATAACAAATAGTGTATGACTCTACTTATATGAGGTACATAGTAGTCAAATTCATAGAGACAAAAACAGAATGATGGTTGCCAGGGTCTGGAGGGAGGAAGAAATGCATGAGTATTGTTTAATAGATATAAAATTTGTTTAGAAAGATGAAAACATTCTGGAGATGTTTGGTGGTAATGGGTTGGCCAACAATGTGAATGCATTTAATGCCTCTGAACTGCACACTTAAATATAGTTAACATGGTACATTATATGTCATGTATATTTTACTACAATGAAAAAGTCAGAGAAAAAATAATATATCCATCTATAGGAGGAACATTTTGTTATTAAAATTATTGAAATGAGAATTGCAGTCCTAAAATGAATTAATGCCTTTTTTTTTTTTTTTTCTGAGATGGAGTCTCGCTCTGTCACCCAGACTGGAGTGCAATGGCACGATCTTGTTTCACTGTAATCTCTGCCTTGTGGGTTCAAGTGATTCTCCTGCCTCAGCCTCCCAAGTAGCTGGGATTACAGGCACCCACCACCATGCCCAGCTAATTTTTTGTATTTTTAGTAGAGATAGGATTTCACTGTGTTGGCCAGACTGGTCTCAAACTCCTGACCTCAGGTAATCCACCTGCCTTGGCCTCCCAAAGTGCTGGGATTACAGGCATGAGTCACTGTGCCCTGCCTGCTCATGCCTCTTTAGGAAGATTTTTTATCTTTTGCGTTGAATTCCTCCAATAAGTGACTTCAGTCTTTATATTTCATAATAGTGAGAAGGAGTGCATGACTATTCTTACCCACACATGTTCCTATTCAAATTGGCAGATGAGTATTCATCAATGTAGATACTATTCTAACAATACTGTCAGAGGAGAAATAATATTGTTGTGACACCAAGGGAACATTTTTATTATACACATTACCTTGAAATAACATTTTTGCCAGGAAATTTGATGCAGCATACATATGGTGCCTGATAGAAAGAAGCCAGGTGAAAGTACATTAGTCCTGTGTGCTGCACATGATATATAGTCAAACAGCCTGTGAGATAGAAGGATACCATTAACTATGAAGGTCATTCCATCACCAGTATAATGTTTGGAACAAAGATGTATTCAGTTATGCTGTTTACTCTATTTATACTTCAACTCCTCGTCTTTATAAACCTACCTTTCTATGTGATTTTTAAAACTCCCAGAATACTTTTTTTTTAAGAAGAGAAGATCTGTCTTGTTTAAACTGCCTTGCACTCCAAATTCAAATCAAAACCATTATGAATTTTAAAACATGACTTCTTCTGACATTGAAACTTTTCTTTTTTTCCAATTACTACTATAACTGTTAAAATTTTGGAAAAATATTTTAGTATGCCCAGGAAGCCTTGCTATGTCTATTCTATTTGCATTTGTTTCATAGTCTCATTAGGTTCATTTTCCCCCTAATTTTTCATTTGTAGTAAAATGCACATAACAACATTTACCATTTCAGCCACTTTAAAGTGTACAGTTCCGTGGCATTAAATGCATTCATAGTGTTCTGCAGCCCTCACCACCACCTCCAGCACTTTTTTCATCTTGTAAAAGTGAAACTCTCTAACTATTAAACAATAACTGTCTCTTCTCTCCCATCCTCAACCCTGGGCAACCATCTCCATTTTCCATTTCTATGATTTCGATTATTCTAAGTACCTCATACAGGTGGGATCTTATGTATTTGCCCTTTGTGCCTGGCTTATTTTACTTGCCATAATGTCCTCAAGGTTCATCCAGGTTATAACATATGTCATAATTCCCTTTCTTTTTAATGTTGAATAATATTCCATTTTCTGAATATTCCACATTTTGCACATCTATTTATCCATTAAGGGATACTTGGGTTGCTTCTGTGTTTTAGCTACTGTGAATAATGCAATCCTACCAACAATGCTCGAGAATTCCAATTCCAGTTTCTCCACATCCTTGCCAACACTTCTGGCTTATTTTTAAAAATATATTAGCCATCCTAATGGGTGCAAAGTGGTATCTCACTGTAGTTATGATATGCTTTTCCCTTATGATTAGTGATGCTGAGCATCTTTTCATATGCTGATGGGGCCTTGTATATTTTCTTTGGAGAAAAGTCTATTCAAGTGCTTTGCTCATTTTTTATTCAGGTTGTTTATTTTGTTGTTGTTGTTGTTGTTGTTGAGTTTTGGAGCTCTTTCTACATTCTGGATATTAACCTCTTATCAGATATACAAATATTTTCTCCTATGCTGTAAATTGCTCTTTTGTTTTGTTGATAGTGTCTTCTGATGCACAAACTTTAAAGTTTTCACTTTAAATGAAATGAAAGTTTAACTTTTCTGTTTCTTCTTTTGTTGCCTGAGCCTTTGTCATACCCAAGAAATTACTGCCAAATTCAATATCATGAAATTTTTGCCCTATGTTTTCCTTTACGAGTTTTATATTTTTAGATTTCTGATCCATTCTGAGTTAATTTTGTATATGGTGTTAGATAAGGGTCTAACTTCATTCTTTTGCATTCAAATATCCAATTTTCCCAGCACCATTTGTTGAAAAGATTGTCTTTTCCCCATAAAATAGTCTTGTCACCCTTGTAAAATATCATTTGAGCATATATGCAAGGATTTATTTCTGGTTCTTTATTCTGTTTCATTAGTCTGTATTTATGCCAGTACCACAATGTGTTGATTTACTGTAACTTTGTAGTAAGTTTTGAAATCAGGAAGTATGAGTTCCTCCAGCTTTATTCTTCTTCTTCAAGATTGTTTTGGCCTATTGTTGTCCCTTGATATGCCATATAAGGTTTAGGATGGGTTTTTTTTTTTTATTTCTGCAAAAATATTTGGAATTTTGGTAAAGATTGCATTGAATCTGTAAATCGCTTTGGGTAGTATTGACATCTTAACAATATTAAGTCTTTCCATCCATGAACATATCTTCTCATTTATTTATATCTTTAATTTCTTTTAATAATATTTTGTAGTTTTCATTGTACAAGTCTTTCTCCTTTTTGATTAGGTTAATTCATAAGTATTTCATTCTTTTTTATGCTATTGTGAAATGGATACACTTTCTTAATATTTTTTCAGATTGTTCATTGCTACTGTATAGAAGAAATGCAACTGATTTTTGTGTGTTGACTTTATATTCTGCTATTTTACTGAATTTATTAGTTCCAACAATTTTTGGGGTGAACATTTAGTTTTCCACACATGAGATCATACAATTTTAGAACAGAGAGAATTTTACTTCTTTTTTTCCACTTTGGATGCCTTTATCTCTTTTTCTTGCCTAATTGCTCCAGCTAGAATTTTCAGTACTATGTTGAAAAGAAGTGGCAAAGGCTGGGCACAGTGGCTCACACCTGTAATCCTAGCACTTTGGGAGGCCGAGGTGAGTGGATCCCAGGGTCAGGAGTTTAAGACCAGCCTGACCAACATAGTGAAACCCCATTTCTACTAAAGATACAAAAATAAAATAAAATAAAATTAGCCATGCATGGTGGTAGGCACCTGTAATCCCAGCTACTCAGAGGCTGAGGCAGGAAAATCGCTTGATCCCATGTGGCGGAGATTGTAGTGAGCTGAGATGGTGCCATTGCACTCCCACCTGGGTGACAGGGCAAAACTCCGTCTCAAAAAAAAAAAAAAATAAAGAAAAAGCAGTGGCAAGAGCAGGCATCCTTGTCTTGTTTCTGATCTTAGAAGAGAAGCCTTCAGTCTTTCACCATTGAGTATTATGTTTGCTGTGAATTTTTTATATACGGCTTTTATTATGTTAAGGCAGTTTCTTTCTATCCCTCGTTTGTTGGCTTAAACAATTTTTTTATTTCAATAGCTTTTGGGGTACAAGTCGTTTTTGGTTACATAGATTGATTATGTAGTAGTGAATTCTGACATTTTAGTGCACCTATCACCTGAGTAATGTATGTTGTCCCCAATATGTAGTTTTGTATTCCATATAGAATAATGACCTCCAGCTGCATCCAGGTTGCTGCAAAAGACATTATTTCATTCTTTTTATGGCCATATTCCACAGCATGCATATATATAACTTATTTTCTGTATCCACCCATTGGTCAGTGGGCACTTAAATTGGCTTCATATCCTTGCAATTGTAAATTGTGCTGCAAAAAACATACATGTACATGTGTCTTTTTCATATAATGACTTCTTTCCTTTGGGTAGATATCCAGTAGTGGGATGGCTGGATCGAATGGTAGATCTACTTGTAGTTCTTTAAGGAATATCCATACTATTTTTCACAGAGGTTGTATTAATTTACATTCCCACCAGCAGAGTAGAAGCATTCTCCTTTCATCACAACTACAT